AGACGAGCGTTGAGCGTGCAATGATAGAAACCTGTGAATAATTGTCTGTAGGTGTGAAAGAAGGTTTCTATCATTGCACGCTCAACAGTCGTCTCGCTTCGATGCAAAGGCACGGCTACCTTTCAAGATGGCGCAGGTAACCGTGAAGGAGACTAGTAGGCTAATGAGAGTTTTCTCTCCTTGGTCTTCCTGTGTTGTCTTATCCTGACCGAGACAAACTGGTGCCTAATGATTAGGAACACCGACTGCTTTTTCTTTCCTTCCTAACCCATCTCCCCCTCCCTCCCCTTCTGCGGCCGTTTTTCTGCCTCTTAACACAGGAATCCCACGGAATAGAGTAGCCTACGAAGGCGTGTAAATTAGGGCCAATCCTCGGTTAAAGACCCACGTGCATCCATGAGCCTCTGCAATCGTTTCTTTTGTTTTACAAATGATCTCTTGTTGATATGTGCTTTCTGATTCGTTAAAAATCAAAGATGGCGAATCTTCGTGTGTGAGAATATCATGCAAAGATACTTGGATGCATGTGGGCTTAAAAAAATAACGCTTCCGGCTCAGTTTCGCAAACATACAGGACATGCGTATTAGAAATTATGGTAATTTGATTAATATTTATTCTGGACAAGTATTTCAATATTTCAAATATTCTTACTAATCGCAAATACAACTCGTACCGTTGTTTTGATGTTCTTTGCTCTGTCGGCATACAGTAATGTATTTTTGCTTTCTTCAAATAATTTTCCAGCAGGACTGACATGCGCAATCATCACCGTCTTGCAATTACCACCAAGTGAGTCCTACAAGATAAAGTGCAATTGATCTCTAGTGTCTACTATCGATTTTATACAATATTTGACAATATTATCATGGAAACATTCAGCACTGTCATATGGAAAACTATCAGAAATAGGTATTTGTGGAAGTTTTCAAGCTATAAACTACATACTAGCAAAGTTATGGAGGAATAAGAATACAAAGTTTTGTATGGAATTCTTTGCAGAGGCCTTTGTAGCCTGCTTTAGGTTTTTTTTTTTGCCTCTTCTAATCCGTATAGCTTCAAGAGGATTAAATATTATTTTTCTATAAACGTTTCAGAACTTATCTTTCTATTTGATGTCTACCATCTGAATGAATTTAATGAATTTAAGATTTCAACCGAACATTATGGGAAAGTTTGATACAGAAAATAAAGAAGTATGTACGCGTATTCGGTTTAAAAGTTTGGATATTAGCTCTTTGTGTGTCCAGACATTTTATTTAATCACTTTTGTGTGTTACCTTTAGTAATCTTGTGAGTTTGCTGTCCCGATAGTTCACGTAATGACCTCTATTTTCAGCTATTAAACATAAATAATATATCATTATATATTTTAGTTTATCATAATATTTTTGATATTTTACTGTTACGAGTCATTTTTTTTCTTCTTTTTTTCTTTTTCACTGAAAATACAACGACCCAACCTTTTTAGCCTAATGTTTTGTAAGATAGTGTGTTTTTGTGTCGGCGTTTCTTAAAGACTGGTGTTTATACAAGCCTCCCAGTCATGCGTTTTTTTAAAAACGCCGGATTGAGACAATTTGGACGATTATATGGACAGTCAATAAAACAGCTGTAAAAAATGTATACACACTGCAAAAAGACAGAAAACTTACTGCAAAGAATGTTTGTAATTCATTTGCTCTTTCACTCCGCTGACAACCAAAGTCTGAAACCTCAGTACGTTCTCTAACTTTTTACGTACAATTTACGGCTTTTTACAAAATCTAATTTGTCATTTTATGCAATTGTTTTTAATTGCCTGCTTAAGATAAATATATGGCTACTGTGACTTACATAAAGCATTGATACAGTTCCCAAGAGCCAACAAAGACCGATTGATGTGAGCGCCTTCAATCATTCTTTTACCGCGATTCTATAACAGATCACAAGTCACCATTATTTCTCTATAGCTGGTCATTTCTAATAGAAAGTGAGTGCTGCGAGTAGCTATTTCATTTTCACAACGTATAACAGTTGTTAGGTCACATCAGCATAGCAGTGGTGTGATGCAACTTGTCACGTAACGCAAAATCCTTCAGGCAGTATACGTTTTTTTTTTAAGCTACAAAATACTTAAGTAGACCTCTGAAGCTTTGACGTCATATACCGTGTACGCAATGCATTGTAGAATATGTTTGGGACAAAACATGGCGGATTTCTTCTTCTGATCCCCCAATGCATTGAAACTCACGTAGGCGACGTAAAAGCTCTATATTTTAAAAATTGAAGAAAATAGGTTTTCTTATAACATTTTTTTCTTATAACTGGAGGTGGCAATCTCAAAGGTACAGTTTTTGTTGTGTTTGTTGTTGATGATGTTGCTTTTGTTTGTTGTTGTTGCTGTTGGTGGTGTTGCAATTCCTACCTTTGTTTGTGCAGCTCGTTCTGAGCCGGCCAAATCAATCATGAAAAGTTTGCCAACTTTAATTTCTTGGATAACATTTTCAACTCTGCTTTTCTGACTCACTGTTACCTGTTGCGATTGGACCAAATGCGAATTTGAATCAATTTGAAAACTACTTTGCAATATAAACACCAAAGAACTGATGTTTTATTCATCAGTACAAAGCACAAATTACAATCAAACTTACGACAAGAATAAAATTTCAATATTTAATAATTCTAATGCTTGCAGCATTAATATTCAGACAAGTAACGTCCAAATATTTATTTTTAGTTTTATGTATTCTTCAATTTTTTCCATAGTTTTACCTGAAGCACAGCATGTGATCTTGATGATGTTTTATTAGCAGCAGTTGGCTCTGAAGTCCTCTGTTTGTTGCCCATCAGTAACATACTCATCACCTAATACAGACAGACAGACAGAAAACGAGTTGAATTAAGAGTCCCCCAAATCATACAATAGGGCAATGAGTCTTCCAAAAGGTCCGATTGCCATGTGTAACAAAAATGAGTTCCAAATCGTGACGTATAAATGCCCCTGTAACTTTCTAACAACAGTCCTACGAAACCTAAGACTTTTAGTAAGAATCCTTTGCCTTACAGTAAGGAAAATTGCATATTACAAGTCTCACACAACAATCATACTGTATCAATCTACCTAAAGATCGTCCAGCTTAGTTTATGGGCCACTGGAAACGTTTACTCAATAACATGATAAAACATTGTATTTTAAGGAACTTGTCCCAGACCTCTCAGTATAGAAATTTTACAAAGTTTAATTTAAGGTAGATCACTCAAGTCGTTTTTTGGACAAATGATATCATTTTCATTTAACATATTTATGGCCTTATTTTTTAACTCATTTTTGAATCAGTTAAACATATAAGAAAGTTTTCAATGACGCCATTTTCAGCTTGATTRGCATTACCATGGCAACAATCAAATCTTTAGTTAAAATTGTTTTTTTTAGGAACATATTTATCAATTAGCGATAACAAGTCATGTGACTCTATGGGTTTTCTTTACCTCTCTTGTTGTTTTAGCTTCAACTTCAGACAACCCAGCTACATTAACTCCTTTGGCATCTTCTCTCAGATCAAGAATACCAGACGCAGGGTTGAGCAAATCTCTTATCATTTCATTGTAAATCTAAAAGAGGACATAAGATAATTCCATTTGAATTAAATATTGAAATTCTATCAAACTAGAAGTGTTTCCAATTTTCAGTTGACATCATGACTGGTCCATGTGGGAGGTACATTTCAAAAAGGACTTCTAACTCCCATTCTTAGGCAACAAAAGCCACAATACTCCAGTATTGAAGTCTTTTTTGTGCAAGCTTAGCTTCAATCAAGCATAAATTTTTATTGTCTTCTTTGTAGACAGAGTGTTAGCATTAAAATAGGATCAGCTCTGCTGAATAAAAGAATATATTACATGCTTTCGAGGTAAGGCTGCACAAATAAGATCTTGAAACTGGAGTATTTGTTTGCCCTTACAATAAACACTGTCCTGAGTTGTTGTTTTTTTATTCTCATAAATTTGTGATTAGAAACCCGAAATGTACACACTATCAATGATGTATTTCACAGAGGGGAGGTGGAACAGGAGGCCAAGGGTGCACCCCCCAAAGTCCCCTTCCCCCCCATTTCACTCAAAAAGGCAACAAATACACGTAACAATGACTACTAGAAATCCTGTTGTAAAATACGTTCGCAGAAAATCAGAAAATGTCTAGCATTTTGACCTACATGTACGTAAATTTACATTAGATAGACTTTTTAAAATGAAAGACAATCCAAATAATCTCATTTTGACTGATATTCAATCGAAAATGGATAGACAAGATGGAATCAAAACGCTATAATTCGATTTAATTACTAAATCAGGCGATATCTTTCGTTCTATTCTATCTTAAACTGTCAGCCTCGCATGGTTTATAGACTTTTTAGTACTGTGAGCACCTGACAAAACGACTCAATGCCTCAAAATGTCTCAAGTTTAGGTTCATGGCTCATGTATCACCGTTCAAACTCAGTTCGCTTGTTGGAATTTACTCCTAACATGTGAGGTCCTCATTGATCATGCTCACAGTGACTTTTGAGGGTACTTTTCTTGTGTCCATGGTACTACATTAATGGGATGTAAAGTGATGAATGGAAATGAAAGAATGAACAAGACCCTTGACCCACCTCAAGATAGGACATGGTGACTTTGTATTTCACATCCTCCTTGGTTGACTCCATTTGTGCAAAGAGATCATTGAGTGTCAATCCCATGATTCCTGGTTTATTATCGCTGCCGAGCATGGTGTAGGTTTTTCCAGCTCCTGTAGCACCGTAGGCAAATACAGTTGCGTTATACCCAGTGACAACACTTTCGATGAGAGGCTGTGTGGTGACATTGTAGACGTCATTCTGAAAAAAATATTTGAACATAGGCATTGTTTAAGGCTTATATTCAGTGTTAAATCACATAAGAGGTAAGGTTAGCAACTTAGACCTTCTGCTGTTAAAAGCCAGCGAGTTTAAATTATTACAGTGGTGCATCTACTACTTGGTCAAAAATAGTGTGCAGTAGAGCTAGCACAATGCATAATCCAGAAGAGCCTAGACTTGCTCCAAGTCTCGCTTTTTTGATTTTTTTCTGTTGCTTGGAATTCCTGTGATGTTAGTCAAATTTTTGGCTTCTGGGGACTCTCCATGGGGCACTCTTTGGGTACAAACTTCATTTATCATATGACCCATATTTTTACGCCCCTAAAAAAACCTTTGGGAAATGGTCACGTGATGGGGGCTGTATGCCTTTTCGCCACAGGGCCGTACAAATCCGAATCTTCCTGGCTTGAAGCCTCCGTGTGCTTTTATTTATTTTTTTTTTACATTAAAAAATGCTGTCATATGATAAAATGCTTATTGACCGAGTTAGGTGACGGGCCGTACAGAAAAGATACTTATTGGCTCTCGGTCGTTTGTACGGACCTCGCTGCGCTCGATCTGTACGGCATTACCTCAAGCCAATCAATGAGAAAAAATAATAACAGGACTTGTAGCAATTCTAGATGGCCTTCACATAAAGGATGCATGGCATATTTATTTTTTTGAAAAATAACATTTTACTGCTTGTTACAGATGACATTATGCATAGTCTCACCTGTGTTGCTCCTGGATTGAAGGCATGGTCAAACACATATTGTTTTTCTCTTGATCTATTAACCCTGAGAATGTCATCTTGGTCTTCATTTGGATCTCGTAGAACTACAAGCTGAAAGATGAACAATGTCAATGAAAACAGAATGAATATTTCATTTGATTAATATCAAATAGATCTATAAAATTATAAAATAACTTACTATATGCACGCATTGATTGATTTGATTGTGCAAGGGCATAAATAGGTGCATAGAAACACGACTTTTAAGTTGTTATAATTGTTTTATAGTTAAATGATATTTTCCTTTTTTTTTCTCTTTCAGAAACACTTGGTCCACCAGCATATACTGTATCCCTTTCGAGCTTTTGCTCTTGTTTGAAAATAATAAAAATACATCGTAACATAAGCATTAAATCTTACTCTTTACATTATTCCTTTTTACTAACACAACTGTATATGAATGGAGATACTGTGAGATCCGACATTAAACCGATGGATGGAAACAGATTGCCAAAGAATATTCGAAGTCACCTAATTTTCCATAATATGAAAAATCAAAAACATGACTGCATTGAATGCTGGTGGACCATTTCCCTTCAATGGGATTGTTGGGAAAGCACAAAGGTTTTGAATCACAAGCTCATCAAACCCTTTCAAAACCTTCATCTCCAAACAATCCAGTGTGTTTCAAACAGAAAAAAAAACAGTCAGAAAATATCTTAATCTAATCCTTTTAAATAATGATAAAAACCAACATTGTCAGATACACCTACTTGCGAAAACGTTGTCATAAAAAAATAGGACATTTGTATTTTAGTAAAAAGGAATAAATTATAGACAAAAGAAGATCACTGAGTCTGAGCGCTTTCTTTTGTTTTGTTTTAATTTATTCCTTGTTACGAAATTCTAATGTTCTATTTTCTATGACAACGTTTCTGCAAGTAGGTGTATATCAAACATGATTATAATTATATTACAAATTTCTGGGGACTATATTTCCAATGTTCTCAATATACAGTTAGTACATAAATTGCTTTTGATAATTTCATTGGTCAAATTCTCTTTAATATTTAATACTGATTATGGTTATGTAACACACAAAAAAACAATATTTAATGCAATGGTTAAAAGGTGGTAGAGGGGTTTCTAGCTATGTAAGCAGTATGACTCCATTGAAAACCTAACCTAACCCATGTTGCTTATCAATAATTCATTATAAATACTGTAATGATATGAGAAAAAATCAAAAAAGGACAAAAGGACTTACGAAATAGAAAAAGCAGTTTAATACTAAAGGCAGCAATGAATGAAGGCGGCGGATGTCGCAATGAAACGAATCCAATGCATTTTCTGCCTTGTTAAACCCCATTAATATGGGGTTCTTTTCAATGTCCCCTTTAAGTGACTGGATTACCAAGTTGTATTTGTACTCAAAAAAGTTACAGAACATTATCATGACTACAATTAAATAAACAAGTTAGAAAAATAATGGCAAATAAAGTCTTACCAACTATGATAGGTGATTAACAAAAGGAAATAGTAAGACCTAGGGAACTATGTATACAGCTTTTTTATGAACAATCTTGGTAGCAGCTGTATAATTATGCAGTTTAATCAGTATTCGCCAAAAAGACACTTTCATATGCCATCGTTTTTAACAATTATATGACATAATTATCGAAACATTCAGCACTGTAATATGGAAGAACTATCGGACAGTAAGACAGTATTTTCAGAAAGTTTTGAAACTATAGTGTACGGACTAACTAAATATTGACAAAGTTAAAGAGGATTTGAAAATGCAAAGATTTGTATGAAATTCTTTACTGAAGCACTGTGGTGGCCTCATTTTGGTATTTTTATGCCTCTTTTTACCCTATAACTTCAAGAGATTTCAATATTTTGCTGCGAAACTTTCAGAACTTCTTTTTATAGCTTTGATGTCTACTCTCTGACTGAGTGTATTCTTTTGTCAACATTATGAAATTTAACTTTAATATGCTGATTAGTGGCGGCCATTACAAAAGTTGTCAATATTATTCATAAAATTCAAACTATAATTACTGTTTTAGATTATATAAATGCTTTATATTGAAAATCCATATCATCCATAATTTGGGTTGCACAAAATCATCATTAACGATCATCTCTATGACCTGAACTTTTTCTGAGAAACGTTTTTGAAACTGCTATGTATTCATGTACTTATTTAGTCTGCATGTAGGTAAAAAGTTGTGTAAAAAGATAAATTTAACACAGTGAAAAGGTAGGTGATCTGAAACAACTTACTAACGATTTGGACATTAATCCTCCRATGAAGCAAGTAAGTTGTTTCACCTCCTTTTCTACGGTGTTAAATTTATCTTCTCAACATTACTGTTTCTTTAGAAACACTGAYGCAGGGATAATACTTTTTGCTTTGGGATCGGGATCACAAGCACTGGGTTTGACCTGAAAAATTTGCAAATATAAATGCATGGGAACACTMAAATTTTGTTGGATCAGGGATCAAATTTAAACAATAATTTGGAATCAGTGATGAAAATTTGGATTAAAAAACATGGTCACAAGTAGAAAAATGTCCCATGCCTCGACYSTGTGGTTACAAAAGTTTTTCTAAATGGATGTAAAACTTCTATTTGATTRGTGGTGCTCTATCATGGAGCCCTGCACTGAGACATTCAATTCTTTTTTGTTTTTAATTTTGTTTTGTGCAGTCTGAGGTGTTGGTGCATGTAAGGGGCTAGTTAGACGTCATGAGCATTGTAGAACTTGTAGAAGAAGAACAGAACTGAGTAGAATAAATAAATAAATTCAAAACTTGTCAAAAATACAATGTTATAAAGATCCTGTGAAAATCACCAAGGCAACACCATTGGCTTGCTTCCTGATGACAGGGGTTTGCCTTGTGGTAAGTACATGGAAAGAAAGGGTTTCTTTAATTGGTATATCACTTACTAAAAAAGTGTATAAATTTGAATGAAATATTCTCGCTATAATTAAACTCCAAACTGAATGACCGTGTGTAATTAAGTAGAGAAAAACTTTGGCTAAGATAATATATTTAGAGTAAATTCTTGTGAAAAGTAAACAGAAGCCCAGCTGAAATACAAAGGAACTCTTATATACGCCAAGAGACACTCAACAACTGAGCAAACGAATTTCGGAAAGGTGTTAGAAAATTTGCACATAATAACGTGCACAATATAGGTAACTGCCAACTACAGAGAAACCGACGGCTTTGCGCTTCTTTCTGAAACACCCCTTCACAGGATATAACGCTTTGTAAAATAAGCAATAATGTGAAATAATAAGGTTTCAGCCGTAATTAAGTGGAAAACAAATGACACGTGAAAAACATATACGCGATGAAAACGAGATGAGAATGGTTTCAGTTTCGCAAACGAAAACAACACAAGATTTGAGTGCTTGAAAGCAGCTGTGAGGTTATAGTTCGGCAATATTCCAGTAATTGCAACATCTCTTTGTAAACAGTGTGATAATTAAAGAATTCCACAAACATGTATATATATACACTTACATTTTTTTCCAAAACGTGGATGATCTCTTTATCTCCGAGCTCGGAGGAACTAATCGGCCTAACTCGGAGGGCAACCTGACGATAGAAACGTCTAGAATCACAATATTGTAAAAAAAAAAAAAAACACTAGAACTCGCTGTTTGGCAACAATTCAACACTTTCGTACAGAAATTATTATTCTGTCTACTAGTAATACTTACTACTAAATTTGTAGCATGGCCTGGTTCTTTGTCAGGCATTATTGCAGTTAAAGGCACTCAAAGACCACACAAAGATGTAGCGAAGTTTCTCTTGATGATGATAGCATCTTGTTGAAAGCTGTTTTGAAAAGCATAGAGTGTAACATGACGTTCTTCACTCGCATTGCAGTGCGAATCAATCACTTACGAACTCAGACAATGCCAGCATAAAAAGCTCTTAAAGCAGAACGGTAAATCCATTTTGCTGTGATTACATCCTGTTCAGAAATACACGTTAATTTTTTCTTCCAACGATCGAAACAAACCTACTTTACGATCGAATGTTCCACGCATGGCACTTTGGAAGCCCTCCAGCGGCATCACCATAGTGATGAGTAAACATTCACTATTCGTTGTAAAATATATGTAAATACTGTAGAAAAGTATACACATCATGCTGAAATAGTTTTTAATTTAATGTTTTTGTATTTGTCTTATCATTCTGCGTGGCGTGCAAATGATATATATAATAATATTTTAAAAGTTTGTCGTCGGCTAAGCGAAATTGCGACGCCTCTCAATTGACGTCAGTACAGCCCGCTAAAATTTATCTAACAAAAAGACTTACTGACCACCCACAAATTATGATGAAAAAGTTAAAAACCGAAACATAGGTTTTAAGATAACTAAGACGTAAATTCATGTTGTTGTTGTTATTGTTGTTGTTGTTTTTTGTTGTTTTTTGTTTTGTTTTTTTCTACATCTCTTCGATAAGGCATTTCTTGATAAAAGAGTTACATTGTAAAAGTTGATAGCTTTTTGAAGGCTTTCCCAAGTTTGCGAGCCTCATTACTCGACTTTTAACAGGATTGTAAGATCGACTTTAAAATTTCAACCATCTATTTTCGAAGTTGCACCTGGACGTTTGAGGCCCTTCACAGTTTGCGATTTTTGCGCCGATTTTTGATCTTAAAGAATAATGTTAAAGAATTAACTTGTAAAGTTTTATTTACGTCACTGAGATGAASTATAAACTAAACACAAAATGTATTTTTGAACATCGCCTGAACTGATTAGCGCTGAAAAATTGCCATTTGGGAGAAGCCGTCAGTGAGATTAGTGTAATGCGGCCATAGTGTCGAACAAGCATTGATTTAAAAGACTCGGCAATCTTAGAAGTTAACTACTTGGTCGAAAAGTGAATCAACTGAATTATATTAGAATTATTAGACTCAATAAGGGTTCCTGTGTAAAACCGTGCAATAGGGCCCGTCTCAAACGCGTGATATCACAAGTAATGAAGTTACTAAATACTTTAATCATAGTTAATATCTATTATGCTTTAATTGCCACGATGATTGACAGTTGATCTTGAAAAGGTTGTCCACCTGATTAGACATATCCAATGTGTAAATTGTCGTGTAACCTGTAAAAATATTCACTTTCCGTTGATGYAAAATGGTCTGGAATACTGAGGTGTGTTTAGTTGGAGAATTGAAATTCTATACTTTTTTAACTTTGACTTTATAGTACATGACTGTACACCAATATTTAGACTGATTCCATAAGTTGGTACCAGTTCCCTCTCTGTCAATATTTTTTGTCACTCACAGCTCCTAGTTTGAGCGACAGCCAAAAAATCGTGGAGCAAATGCTACGACTTATGGAATCAGTCTAACCAATATTACCTGAAAATAAATATTAACACCTTGTGTAAGACATGGAAACAGAAATTAGACCCCTATTCAAGACAACTGAGGGTCAATTGTTTACCCTATTCAAGACGCAAAGGCTAAAAAAGCATACCTTTTTGGTGGGACGTCTATAAAGTACATGTATATAGCTCTAGGAGTACTCCCACCCCCTTACTTGGGCGAAACAGCTAGGGTTGTTGAAGCTAACTGTAATGAACTGTGAAAAGAATATCAGCATGCTTTGTATATTTGGTGTCCAAAATCCATCATTTACATAATTAGTAATCAGTCAGTTTTCTAATCCCTTGATTTKGCCYCTTCACCAAGGGTGATTTTCCTTTTTAAATTATGTTAAAAAACTCATACATAATTAATGAGTTACTAGGCCAATAGAATGAGCCTATTTGGTCACATGCATAAAGAATACTAATAAGGGTGACCTTTATCATAATTAACTATGCCTTTATCAGATATAAAGGTCCATGACCCTAGCAAAGGTCTCACGTTTGAAACCTGATCATTGACCAATGCAGGATGTCAACCGATTTCAGTGAACATCCAAGAGTGGTTCTATTTTACTTTATGCKTATTCAATGTGGGATGACAAGAGTGCTTTGTAAAGTGATTCGCGCATGATCAGTTTGCCCTCTTTATCTCTGAACATATTTGTACGGCAATTTCTCCAAGAATTTTAACGGACTTGARTTTCAAGTTAGTGTTGGAGTTTTTYAAGCCGTTTAAAACACTCTCTCTCGTGTTTTAAACTTATAATGCATATATAAGTGAAAATTGCAGCAAGTATCAATCACCATTAGTTAACTTTTTCCAAGATTTTGTCTCAGAAACACTTTGCTCTACAACAAGAAGAATCTCAACTTTGCTCTCCTCGTTTATCATTTTGGCAAGAAACTGTACCACATCTGATTCTTTATCACCAATAATGTCTGGTTTGGAAAGCTTGGAGTCCAAGTTATAGAATGTAGCTTCTATTTTCCTGACTGCAAACCAATGTGGTCTTTTTATTGGTAACATAAGTCCTGCAAGGTTCATACCTGAAGGTTTATTGATGATAAAACCAAGTATGTTATCAAGGCACAAAGAATCCAATGACCTGAAGAACAAAATTTAAAATATATCACATATCAGTAAACCAAAAAGTGATGCTATAGTTACTCTTGGGCTTCATGTGATGTAACAAAAATATGAATCTCTAAATATGCATTGTATTTGAATGAATGGTGCTGCTAGCTATATACACCTATTCAAAAAAGGTTGTCGGAAAAAATGATGAATATCAATTGCCAAATGGCGATTGCATGACAGAAAGTAGCCATGTGTTTTGCTAATTGATGAGAAATAACAACTGATTTATACTGTAAGATGGTCTGTGGTAAAAACATTGACACCATTTAGTCTCCATTTCTATGCAAGGCGAATCCAACAAGTAAAATTTGTTTTCAAAACAGTGTATTCATAGTCCCATTCGGTCGTACATACTCCCTTCGACAATTGCCATTAGCCCCAATGTTTTTTGAAATAGGTGTATGTTAACATAACTAAGTGTTATATAAAGATATAAGAAAAATCATGAGTGTATGTAATTCTTTGGTTCTCGAGCTTGTTCACATTATGGACTAATTCCTATTGGTCTACTTTCTTTGCTACTCTCATTATATAAACTCACACTTTACCTAGTTCCATCTCTTACTCAGACGAAGGATTAATGTCCGAAACGTCAGTAAGTTGTTTCRCCTATTTTTTTATGGTGTTAAATTTATCTTTTTACACAACTGTTTCTTTAGAAACACGACACAGCTCAGATTAGTTAACTTCTAGTTCCCATCATTTTAATTCCACAATGTCATGTGTGTCAATCAATGCAAATGAGATAATAAGTTAATGTTCAGAGATGATAATTATCTTTAATCAATAAATAATATTCCTTGTAAAATAAGTAACTTATAAGTGTAAAATAAAAATTGAATTGAATTGAATGATTGATAGAGGAAATTTCATCTGCTTCAAGTTGAGCCATTTCAAAAGGACACTAYTTTATATGCACTACCAATGCATACTTACATTCGTTTGTCATACCAAACAGTTTCATAACCTTTCATTGAAACAGCGGTCATCAGAACATTTACGTCATAATTTCCAAGTCCAACGGGGTTTTTATGAGGATTTATGTACGAATCTGGGCTTAAATTATAGCATATAGTATCAAAATCAGCTTTGCTATAGGCAGTTGGATCTTGAAAAATATTATTCAGAGCGTGGACAGCACAGAGCATTCGAGACTGTCTTTCATGGTAAATTTCCTGTTCCGCCATGTTTTTCATTACACAAAATCGAGCTCCATTCAAGTAAGACACTTTTGTCAATCAGTTCAACATCGAAGCGACCTGAGAAGCTTGATTTCACGTCGAAAAATACGAATATCACCGACTTTTTTGCTAAAAAACTGACATTAAAATCCCGCCGTCTGATTTGAAAACAAGGCCGCTGGACAATAATTTTCTCTTCRCGGTCAMATTTGACCGAGCTGAAWCCAAAAYTATTTTCTAGGAACGTTTCTSTCTTTRACAAAAGYATATGTACAAAAACCCTTCTATAATCAATATTAGGGTCTTCAAAGTCCAAGATTTAATTGCAAGGTAACAAAAACCGGTATTTAAACACAGAATTGTTAAATGAAAATTGTCTGTTYAGGGGATTGAGTACAAGAGAACTCATTGCCACTCTCCTCAGTTTCGCGCTTGCGCGCTGCCCAAGAACAACTGGGCCGCGAACTGATGAAATTTCTAATTTTTTCCTGGYAATTTGTTAGATCTGTTATTGTTTTGATTGGGATATTACATCACTAGATCCCGAYCTCCATCCCCAAAGCTCAAACAGATAGTAACAATCTTGCTACRACAAGGAATCCAAGATTTTAACGCACTCCGTTTCCTGACCAAGAACWCTGTAATTTTCGATTTCTAGCTGTGCAACGTTTGTTTATCGTTGATCAAGTTCTCWGGATCGCCTCAAAATATCTCCAAAGTTTATGGATTAAAGCTTTGAAAGGTAGGTTTTACGTATTGCTGTTGTCGGGAAGATTAGGTGTGGTGAAATCACTTTTTTTTATTTTAAGTGTTGTATTAAGAAACTCGACGAACGCGTTCCACGTTACACTAAAAGCCTAATTCATATGCAAAGATGCTACAATTTATTGTGAGTTGTCTATGGTATTGTGTTTATTCACGATTAAATTCAAAAGATCCTCATATTTGATATTTACAGCCAAGTTCCAAGAATTTCTAAAAAAAATAATAAAATAGGTTCCTGCTTGTTGAAGCTTAATATACTAGTAAGCTCATATTTTTAGCTTATTATTATAATAATATCATGATGCTTTCTTTGAAGACACAAATGAGTGTCCTATTCAGAGTAAAATACAAAGAATTGTTCTAATTTCTTATTATAAAAAAAATCAGGTTTTCAAGCTTGTTTTGTTTGACTTCACCAAAATTTACACTGAATGTTGCTAGACTTACTAGGAAGTCAAAATCCATCTCATACTAAAAATGCACTAGGAATATTCCTTAGGAATATTTGATTATACTTGATCTTTGAGTTTACTGTTTATAATGTCATGCATGAATAGTCATGCATGCATAAACATTTTAAAATAAGTACTTTAGATACCAGTCCCCTCTCTTCTGTCAGATGATGCAACTATTGAGAATTTTTTGATATTTTGAGTATAAGATATGAAATCGGGTCAGARCCGTTGGATTTCACCTAGCGATAATGATGGAGTGAACATCGACCAAAATATTGTGTCAAGGAAAAATATTTTAAGATTTTTAACAAGATTTCCAAAAGTATTGAGGTACATGTACAATGTATTCTGCAATTTTTATATTATACATGTAGAAGCTGCCAATGTGAATTTTTGGAGATTATGTTTGTTGTATTGTATTGTTCTTGACCCTTGTGCAGTACAACAGTATTGCATCAGCTAAATGAAGAAACTGCTTTGCTGTTTGTGTATTCTCAATTTGAATAATACTGGAAGCAACATTTGCTAAAACTCTTTTTCTATTTTTTTTCTTTTGTTATTGTGTGTGTATTATATGTTTGCTTTTTTTTTGCAAGTTTGGATTAAATATTTTTATTTGTGATCTACTTACCTTAAAATTCATGTCTGCCAATATCATCCACAAGATGATTCTTGCAATGCATTTTGTTTTTATCAAAAATATTACAATTAAATTATAAGACTATATTACAGATTATCTAATATTCCATCATTATACATACAGTATATTCTTCTTTATAATATCATGTAATTATATTTATTATTTCATTATAATTAATCATGATAATTATATTGTCATTGCAAAGCCCATAAAAGTGTTAGAATTTGTTGATACATTCAAGAGAGATTGAATCCTGTGTACTCATGTATAATTATATGATTGCTATTTTTTAGGAATATAAGACCAAACAATGAGTGCAGCAGCAGAAACAATCAACGTACAAGAAAAGCTGTCGGCTAGTCTTCTACCTGAAAGAAATGACAGCAATAACCATCTTACCAATGGAGCAGTTAACCTGTTTGCACCTGATTGTGATGAAATCTTTGATGATGCAGAACTGAATGGCATCCATGAGCCTGTTGACCCACGAGTAAGTACTCTTTAACAGGTCTGTCTGTTTTTGTGGCTATCATCTTGGCAACTTTGTCTGGTGTAAACTGAAGTTATATTTAATAATTACTTCTTTTTTGTGTAATAATTATTACAATATACAAGTTTGCATTGTAGTTACTTAAAAAGATCTACATGTAGCAAACTTGATGAAATAAGTTGGATTATCTAGTCATGTCAATAGGGTTGAAAATAAGCATTAAATAATTATATTATTTTAATGATAAAAATTGCTCTTAATCATATTTGATAATGAAGATGTTGGTTGACTGGGTTAAGATTTTATAGACAAAGAGAATAACAAGAAGTTTCTTAATACAAATATTTCGGACGACATCCATCGTCCATCATCAGTGTATTAACCTGACTATAAAGTTAACAAATTTAAATAAATTATAATATTCAATTCTCTAGAGATTGCATGTTATCGTTCAGTTCAATAATTTCAAAGGAACTGATTGTCCTTGCTCATTAAGATCAGGATTATGTTCTTTTATAAGGACAGCTTCAGCGATTTTTCGTTTTTGTTCCCAAGCATAGTGTTCGGCTAATATTTGGAAGTTACTTTCGTTGACATGTTCATGATGTGTTGTTTCGCTGTGTTTGTAGATTGTTGATTTCTTATCTCTGGTTCCGTGATCCTGGACGCGTTCTTCAATTCGTCTGGCGGTCTCGCCGATGTNAAAGAGATCCATACCAACTTGTCCAGTTTAGAACTTCAACAACTGCTCACCCTATGCACAAAACAAGTCCCGTTTTCATTTAATGACGAAATCTACATCCAAAATGACGGAGTCGCAATGGGATCCCCCCTCGGACCTGTATTAGCCAACATCTTCATGGTACAGTTGGAACGTGAGACTATCCCGAAACTGACTGGAACTTTATCAGGGTGGAAACGCTATGTAGACGACACACTTGCGTATGTGAAGAAAGAGGAAGCAACCCAGACTCGTAATCAGCTAAATAAATTTGAACCCAAAATAAAATTCACCTACGAGCTTGCCAACAACAACAGTATCACGTTTCTTGACACGATGATTACATGGAAAGACCAAGATAATAAATTCGAAACCACCGTCCATCGGAAGACAACAAACACGGACCTGTACATACACTGGGACTCACCAGCTCCCAATTCATGGAAACGAGCCACTCTTAAAGGTCTGGTTAATAGAGCCTTTACAGTCTGCTCTGAACAACAACTATTGGACAAAGAACTCGAACACCTAAAAACAACCTTCAAAGAAATTAATGGTTTCCCTAACAAAGTTATCAAGAAAACCATCAAACAAGTACAAAATCAACAAACAACTCGTGATCCACTGCAACTTCCAGATAACACAGAGACGCAGAAGACCTTATACATCTCACTACCTTTTGTAGGCCAAATTGGTACAAACCTGATCAAACGACTCAAACATATGGTACCGAAATACGTATCAGAAAATGTCAACATCAACTGTGTGTATAATGCTAAAAAGCTGGGCTCTAAGTTCCCGACCAAAGATAAACCACGGCTTCAACACAAGCATAACGTCATATACAAAGCCACGTGCCCTGATGATCAATGCTCAGCCACATACATCGGCGAGACCGCCAGACGAATTGAAGAAAGCGTCCAGGATCACGGAACCAGAGATAAGAAATCAACAATCTACAAACACAGCGAAACAACACATCATGAACATGTCAACGAAAGTAACTTCCAAATATTAGCCGAACACTATGCTTGGGAACAAAAACGAAAAATCGCTGAAGCTGTCCTTATAAAAGAACATAATCCTGATCTTAATGAGCAAGGACAATCAGTTCCTTTGAAATTATTGAACTGAACGATAACATGCAATCTCTAGAGAATTGAATATTATAATTTATTTAAATTTGTTAACTTTATAGTCAGGTTAATACACTGATGATGGACGATGGATGTCGTCCGAAATATTTGTATTAAGAAACTTCTTGTTATTCTCTTTGTCTATATTTGATAATAATTGTTAAAATGTTTTATCACAGACATCTCTAGTCAGCCCTAATGATTTGCAATTTGATGCACTCATATCGAACCTGAAACAGAGACTGTCAGCGGGCCATGGAGAAACAATCTTTGAAGTTGGAGCTGGAGGTAAAGGCAATCCCTTTCATTCATTTGTTTTTCAAATGTTTTATCGAAAGTAGTGTGTGTACTATGCTCCAGAATATTCATGATTTTTTCTTGGTTAGAATTTTTTGTTCTTATCATGGTTAAATGAAACCTTTGGGTAAGTTTTCTATAGTACATAAGACCAAGTAGGACACATATTATGTAAAAGATGCAATTAAATCTCATCACAGGTTGACTATTTTAAATGTCTTGACTACTGTTTGTACCAGTAATATGCATTGGCTTCCTTATAAAAAATATGCTAAACTGATCTGAATGTTCTGTGACATAGTATGGTCGTGACACAGGCTCAGTGAGACCTTAATTTTCTTACGAGCTCAGGGGTTTCAATAATACAGGCAACTCCGGCATCTTTTTAGACATTTGAGCTGGCTTCTTTTGTCATGTAATGTTTAAATTATACCTTTTAATCTTCATCTTCATCTACATCTATCTTTATTATCCTTAAAACCATGAGTATCACATGAGTATCACATACACAGTACTAGTACCCATAATATTTTTAAAAAGTTTACGTTTTTCCCCAATTTCAATTGCTTTGATTCAAAAATATAAACATGATATAAAACTTCAGCGGCAGCTGTCCACCATCTTGAAACGATGAGTAGAATGAGACTGCGGTGACAAATCTGCCTCGATTTCATTCAGTCTGTAGTCAGCTACTTTTACAACTCGGCCACTTGCTTGCAAATTCATTGAAACTATTGGTTAAAAACTATTTACATGGATTTTTTTTTGTCTCTTAAAGAGCTCTATTAGTTTTAGAATGTCTATTTTTAAAAGCTTATACTGTATTAAGATACTTGCACTTCTTTACTGTTTTCAATCGAAGGCTCATATTTTTTCATGTTTTCCTTGCAGAAGGCACAAGCAATGGTCTAAACACAGAAGACTACCAAGCATCTGTGGCAACTTTAAAACTCATGGCCCAGTCATGTAATTCTAATGTTGTCCTTTTAAGGGAGAAAACAGCTGAACAAGGAACGATGGGAGAGTTTTTAGTGAGAAAAATCCTAGAAGAAAATGACTTCATGGAAGTCAGGTATAGTTCAAGGTCTTTTTCTTTTGAATTAATTATTTGATGGCAAAACCAGGAAGTTTAATGTTCAATGTTTCTATGATGAAAATGCTGCTCAATCATTAAAAAATTGTAAGGGGTGGCGAATGGTACCTAGAAATAACTGGGTCTCCTCAATTTTTGGTAGAATCTCTTGAGATCTTGGACTGCTATCACGTGTTTTCGGGCAAATTTTTACGCCTCGGATCTCGGAATTTCTATATAAATTACAGCCAAACCTACTGAAGCGTTCCTATCGAGGTTGGAAGGCTCGATTTATTATTCCAAATTTGGTTTCAAATTTATATTTAAACGTGCAAAAACAAAACCKAMAATGTAMATTTCAAATCTGACGTCGATTTGAACCTCGATTCCTGATTGGATTATTCCAAAAATAAACAGTACGTTGCATATTTCGAAAAAAAATGGCGGCGGTGAATAGTCTTCAGTGGCCGTACACCCCAGGAAAACCTTTATCGATTGCTGAAAGACAACACATTATACAATTATTTAACGGCGGACTCACAAAAACGGAAGTTTCTGAACGGCTTCGTGTAACTTTTCGGTGCGTAACAAACGTCATAGAACATTATCGCCGGTATGGCTCTGTCAATCCGTTAGGACATAGCGGTAAGCAGCCWGTTGYTTTSACATATGATATTCTGGAGGACATAGAGGTTTGGAAGCATCAGAAACCATCCTTGTATCGTYGACATCGTGAAACAACTTTTGGAATGCACTGCCGCGAACGAGTGAACGTCATTCYCGCGCTTTACCCAACATGAACTTCGTTTTATTATTGGAATAATCCAATCAGGAATCGAGGTTCAAATCGACATCAGATTTGAAATTTACATTGTCGGTTTTGTTTTTGCACATTTAAATATAAATTTGGAACCAAATTTGGAATAATAAATCGAGCCTTCCAACCTCGATAGGAACGCTTCAGTAGGTTTGGCTGTAACAAGATCTCGGATTTTGAATTGCCGGCATGCTCAGACTCGAGAGCGTTGATTTATAAGAATTTTTCAATACATTGAACAATCTAAATGTTTTTTCGTGTTAACACGATAAACAAGAAATAAAAACATTAATCTCCCTTCTCGGAATTTGGAAATTTTTAAAATCTCGATCTCGGATGTTATAACAGCGATCTCGGCGTCTCGGAGGATCTCAGATTTTACTATTCGCCGCCCCTTTGATAAATTCACGTACTATACTCACTGTTTACAGAGTGGCAGTTGTTGGTAATGTAGATGCTGGTAAAAGTACCTTACTTGGGGTACTAACACATGGTGAACTTGACAATGGTCGCGGTACAGCAAGAATGAAGCTCTTTAGACATAAACATGAAATGGAGTCAGGGAGAACAAGTAGCGTTGGTAATGATATCCTTGGTTTTGATGGTGTAGGAAATGTTGTAAACAAAGCAGAGGCCCATGGTAAGTGTAATAGTCTTTTACCTGAATATGGATGTCATCTTGAGTACTCTTTTTTACAGCTTCCTGTACCTTTGTGGATGTTAGTTTTAGTCCAGTGTTCCCCATCCCTCCCTCCTGCAGGGATTATTTTTTCTCTACAGAAAGAGAGGGAGGAATGGTTATTCAAATGTAAGGGGCGATCTTTTGATTGTATTTTGAGGGGGAGGGGCAGCGGAAGAGTTAAAAAAAAATACTGCATGGCACAAAAAGCTGGAAAAATGGCAAAAGTTTGAAAAATCTGCAGTTAGAGCTTTATTGCAATGTTACAAATTTACAGTCTTGCACAGACAAACCCCCCCCCCCCCTTCCTGCAACCCTAACCCCCACCCATCAAAATTTCAAAGATTGCCCCTTAAGCTGTGGTAATAAGCCAAAATTGTCATTTTCTAGTTTACATTGAGTAAGCTTCCTAAAGAGATATGTCAAGTTTCATCCTGTTCTTGACTTTCATGATGGCCCTGTGATAAATAATTATAGAGTATAATTACAAGTATGGAAATAATTGTCTTTCTCTCTAATGAATTGTCACTGCTTTGACATCTCTTCCAGGTGCTGGACAGGATTGGTTAAGAATTTGCAAAAAATCTTCAAAGGTATAAAATGAACTAAAATATTTAAGGTAGTTAATTGCCTTGCTCTAATTTGCAATTGTCTGATTCTCTAGTTTGTAACGGCATGTATTGAGAATGAACCTCCTTTTTTCCTAAGCTTGACAGAGGTTTTTTTCTTGTAGGTAATAACATTCATTGATCTAGCTGGTCATGAGAAATACCTCAAGACAACCATATTTGGCATGACTGGACATGTACCAGACTTTGCTATGCTGATGGTAGGGTCCAACGCAGGGATTATTGGAATGACAAAAGGTAGTGTTTTGTTGTTGTTTTTTTTTTTTGTTGTTGTTGTTGTTGTTGTTGTTGTTTTGTTTTTTTTTTACATTAGTATATTAATAGCTCTGTCTGAGTGCAAACACTAAAACCATGAAAAGTATTAGTGTTACATGTACTAGTACTCTACCCGTGCACTTCAGCAGAATAACCAAGTGTATGCTCATGAAATAAATAATAATAATGTCTTTATTATTAATAAAAATACATACTAATTGTGAATTACGAAGTTGTCCTTCAGTAGCATTATGGGTTAAAATGAGAGTTGAAGGCTGTACGCTACTGTTGAAAGTCAAATAAGTTTGACAAGCTTTCGCCGGCATCACCAGGTCATGAAAATATCATACAAAAGTAAAACTACATGTAGCAACTTTTTACAAGATTTCTTATCTGAAAGCAAGATAATATAGCTGCTGATTGATATTACAAGCCTTGTTAAAAATAGAGAGAGATCTGATCTGACAAAAAATATATATAGAAAAATATATACCGTCGCTTGTTACAACGACTAAGAAGCTTACCTTTCTTTTATATTTCAGAACATCTAGGTCTAGCGCTGGCTCTAAATGTTCCAGTTTTTGTAGTCGTCACCAAAATAGACATGTGTCCACCAAATGTGCTTCAAGAAACTATGAAACTTTTGACAAGAATTCTCAAGTCACCGGGATGTCGTAAAATCCCAGTCATGGTGCAAAACACAGACGATGTGGTTGTCTCTGCAACAAACTTCATGTCTGAAAAGTATGTAGCTTTTTTGGATTGTTATCTTCTGAATTGTGTTGTCCACTGCGTGAAGGAATTTGAAACTATCTGCTCTAGAAACCTGGAGTGTGTTTAACAGCTTCAAAAACTCCAAACTTTGAATTAATTAAAAACACAAACATGGAGAAGTGGTCGTAAAAACAAGTTTGAGATGAAGGGAACCATCTGATCATGCGTGAATCACTGTGCAAAGCACATTTGGTATCCCACATCGAATGCTGGAAAAATGTACTAATGATCCATGGCTCTTTTAATAGAATAAATGATATTAAGCGTGAAAACTCTGCAGAAACATGGACATTTATGTCGGATAAAGCCGTCATCCTCATTATATTGTGGTTTTTGTTTTGAAGGGTTTGCCCTATTTTCCAAATATCCAATGTGACGGGTGAAAACCTTGATCTTCTCAAGATGTTTATGAATCTACTAAGTGTGCGATGTGACAGCCATGACGAGGAGCCTGCTGAGTTCCAAATTGATGAGACATATTCTGTACCAGTAAGAAGCTAAGTTTGTCATCTTTTCCTTTGATAAGTGTGTTCCTTGTTTAAAGGGCTACTTGGACAAAAATTGCGAAATATTAGAAAAGAATTGGAAATCAAATAGACCTATCCATATGGATGTAATAATTATGAAGCAACAGATTTCAAGAAAATATTCGTGCAAATCCTTAATAATTTGAGCAAAAAATGTTGGAGTAGATGACGTCATCTACTCAATCCCTTTGTTCTTCCATCTTTTGAATCAAAATTTCTCTGATGTGGGATAATTCCAAGACAAATATTTTCACGCAATTGTTTTTAATAGATATAAATGAGTCATATATTTGTATTGCTTGAAGTTTTGAAATAAGGCCATTTTCATGCAAGTAGCACTTTAAATCTATAAACTGCCTCACGACGCCCTTTTTGCTCTGCATCCATGCCATTTCCCCACACTTCTTAGATCTTTTTCCTCTAAGAAATTGATTGTTGTTTTCATCAACATTACACTCTCTTTTAAAGCATTGCACTCTAAATCACTGAACTACAAAGAATTGTTGCTCCTTTATTTCAACTCATTATCTCAACTTTCTTTTTTTCTTTTTCTGTTTTTCCTCTCATTTTTGACTCCTTTTCGTTTCTCTTTCTCTCCTGCAGTGTGACGTATCTTCTTTTTATTTCCCTCTCTTCTATCTGTATTGTGTCGCCCTTTGTTCAAAACCTTTCGTCGCATCAGCTGCCTCCCTTTTCTCATAATTCTCCATACTCATCGTCCTTTTCTTCTCCTCTCCTCTAAGCATGTCATTGTTTCCTTTCCCAGGGTGTTGGTACTGTTATATCAGGTACATGTATGCAAGGGATCATTAAATTGAACGACTCACTTTTACTGGGACCAGACCCTCTCGGACAATTCCATCCAATATCTATCCGAAGCATTCACCGGAAAAGAATGCCTGTCAAAGAAGTCCGAGGTGGCCAAACAGCATCATTTTCTTTAAAAAAGGTAACTACGTCCCCATGAACTGTAATTTAATCTTCATGTTTTGGGGAATAATTTGGGAGGGACTGTTTAAATGACTTGCGTTCTAACGTGTACCAAAACGCAGACGCCTGTCAATAACATGTCTACTAAAAATATTCCTCAAATCCGTCGATAAGTTTTCTTTCCACAAAGTGCATAACGAATGTTATTTTTGTGAAGATAACAGAAAAACCCCTTTTGGGGTTATTTTGAAAATAGGGCGAGGACTCCGTTCCCTATCAAACTTAGTTCAGTAATTTGCATCAGTGTACATTGCCTACTATTAAGACAAAAGTTCCTATTTCGGTTTTTGAAAAACCCAGCTACAGTCAACTCTCGCTATTACGGACACCCTCGGGACAGTAATTTAGTGTCCGCAGTAGCGAGAGTCTGTAGTAGGAGAGTTACTTTCAGTCACTTCTTTGTATTTTTCGCCGGGGATTCAGTATTTTAATTACTGTCCACAATATCAAGGCGTTCGTTGTAGCGGGGTGTCCATAAAGCGAGAGTTGACTGCAGTCGATCATAGATTAACATGCAAGTTTTGCGTTTTCGTTCTATTTCCATACATAATGACGAAAATTATAACTTAACAAGACAACTTTACTATTCTTAAGCAAAAAAAGAGAGTATAAGACGGGAAACCAAAGAAAGATACTTTACACCCGATTTCAAATGAGTGCGAACTCTCGAATTTTTTTTGAACGCTAAACTTTCACTCGACCGTCATTCACTCGACCACTTGGTAACCTGGCACAGCTTGAAGCAGGTAAAATTATCCAAGTATAAAAACCATGGTTAATGTATGTCTGTGGGCTAAATTCCTACAGTNAAGTTAATAAAGTCAAATTTAAACTACAAATCAGATAGAAAATTATATTTTTTAATCAAGTTTAGTTGATATTCTTCTAATTGTTCAATTGCATTGAGTGAAGTAGAATGTTCTGTGAAACACAAGGACCACAGGTATCTCGAACAAAGACCACCGCTCCTTCCTCTATAATTCTAAATGCGAAAGTCCCGCTACAGAAAGTCACGCATCACTTACTAAACACGTGTGCCTGGTTACCAAGCGGTCGAGTGAATGACGGTCAAGTGAAAGTTTAGCGTTCAAAAAAAATTCGAGAGTTCGCACTCATTTGAAATCGGGTGTAATTCAAAAATGATTTTAACCGTGTTTATTTTTACTTACTGTCACTGAAGAGTCTCGAACTGAGCGAAATATATCTGACTATATCACTAATTTAGATCCCTAGATCACCATGGTAATAACAGTATTTTCATTTTAGGTTAAACGCTCACATATTCGCAAGGGAATGGTAATGTTAGATAAGAGTCTCAAGCCGCAGTCATGTTGGGAATTTGACGCAGAAGTATTAATTCTTCATCATCCTACAACAATCAGTTGCAAATACCAAGCTATGAGTAAGAGAAATTAACTGAATGATGATGATGATAATAATGATGATGATAATGATGATGATAATAATAATGATGATGATGATAATGATGATGATGATAATAATGATGATAATGATGATGATGATGATAATAATGAT